GCATCTGTTCTGCTCTTCTGTTTTGAAGGGAGGGGAAAAGGGAGAGAGAGAGAGTGATGTTAGAAATGTTGCAGGAATCCATTCTTAGAGTCTCGGACATTAAATATTCTATCAGAAGCTGCTCTGGTTGCTGTACTGCTGGGAAAAGGCAGACTCGCACTTCATCTGAGGCACAGTGCTGGGCTTACAGGCTCCGGTGTAGCCAGCTCTTTGGAGACACAAAGAGCCATATGGTGAATTCAAACTACAATTATGAGTCAGGGATGCATTATTAAAGGTGTACATCAAGAGCTCTGTGTTACAGACCAGCGGTTAAATGTCATATTATAGAAATAGTGCTCCTAGATTGAAGTTTTCAAGTGTGATGAAGGATTGAATATTTATGTTGAAGGTTTTTGATGGTGGAAACTGGACATATGGAGGATCATATTTAAACTGCATCACTGGAGCTTCTTGTCCTTAAAAGCCACCATCCATTAGCTGGCAAAGAAGCTTTTCCACCTCAAAAACTGATTGTGAAATATCGCTAAATATCCCCACTTCTATATGTTGTACCAAGTTTTACCTGAGTGACGAGCCAAATCCGATCATGGTAATTGTAACACCCTTAAGCTCCCGCTCCAATTGTTTATTTTTACTACTTTAAGTGTTCTCAGTGGTCTTTAAATTGTGATTATAAAGATTTTAGCCTGTTAACAGTGTCATTTTTACGAGCTTTTCTTCTGCAGAGCTCCAGTAGCTCATTAGCAATTCGCCTCTGAGTCGTGGATGAGTCGACGGCGCTGCTCTGCACACTCCTCTTCACACTAGCTTGTAGCCTAACATTGCCGGTGTAGTAGAAGAAACTGGAGCTATTCAGCTCTCAGACACTAACGTCTTTAGGAGTATGATGTAAGCTAATAACATAGTTAGCTGTCTTACAAGCATTGCAATCCGCAAATGCACACGCTTGATCCGGATCGTCCCCTCTGCTTTTCCGAGTGTGGCCTGCATAGCGGGGCTCGGGGGGGCGGAGCTTGGATTTGCTATGTAGGAAATCTCACTGCGTCTAAACCTGCAGTTTAGGTCTGCCAGAGATCCACAACAATTTGAATAAAGAAATACTCAGAAATACAATTCCATGCTTAGTTTTCTCATGATATGTCCTGGAGCATCAGAATGCCATATGAACATGTAGACAACAAGAAAAACATGATTTTCATTGGAGTGGGTCTTTAAGCTCACGCCCACAACACTATCTGATACGTGAAATGTCACATGACTGTCCTGTCAAGTGTAACTGCTTAACTCCAGTATAAGATGTTGAAAGTTTTGGTTTTAATTCAACATTTTCTGAAGGTGTTTAAACATAGTTTCTTGAATTCAACATTTTGACTTGAATTTTCAAACAGTGGTTATCGATCTCATGACCTACAAATAATTGGTTTTTGGATCAGTTTTAAAAAGCCAATATTGGTCGACCCCTTAAACCAATCCCTGATGACTCTTTAGAACGATCTAGAGTCTATCGGTCCCTTGAGTAAGATATGAGGTTTGAAAGAAATCTAATTGACCTGCTCTTTAGGATTTCATTATTCAACTGAGTGTTCTTTAGAGGCTTAACTTTTTCTCTTTCACTTCAGCATCGACTTGCTGTTTATAACCCAAGGTTGTTTTCTCTGTACCTGTATCTGTATTTTACCAACCTCTGCTAAAGGTTCCAGTTTTTGCTTTCTTTGATAGTATTTGTGGTTTTGTGGAAACTTTAGTGGTACTAATATCTTTTTTTTTTTTCAATAATCCGTGACTCTGCTCTTTCTTAACTTTTCATTGTCAGCCCTGACATACTCGTTGTTCCTCTCCATTTTTTGTTCGTCTTCGGTGGTTAAAAGCAGCAGAAGAAGGGCAATTACTTTGCAACCGCTACAGCTTTTTTTGTCCTCTTTGGCAGCGCTGCTAAAGAGGCTTGGGATTTGGTTGCTGGGGGATCACAGCGGGATGTTTTGTTAGAACATTTTAGCGTCTGAGATAAGTGGCATCTCAACAAGTTCCTTCCGCAGTTTGGCTGCTCATTCCCACTCAAACTTTCATCGCTGTGTACCGAACCCAGCTCCCTTCTTAATTTAACCCAGCCCTCCCTTGTTGATTCACTCTTTATCTCTGTCTTCTTCTGCTCTTTCACCGCGTCCTTCCTCTTTGTTACCGCCATTAAAGCTTGATTGTTTCCACTTCCAGGGAAAATGATATTAAATTACCCCAGTTTGGGATGACACTGCCTTCCTGAATGTCTTATTTAGAGCGATGCCTCCATTCCAGCTGAGAAACTGAGTTATAAGATAGATGTCAGGGCATGTTTCAGATGGGGAAATGTTTTGTATACCTACGGCGCACCTGCGGCGGCAAACTGAGCCGTGCCAGTAAACAATGAGGGGATGAATCTGGGTCAGGATTGGCCTCTGTGGTGCCATGTTTTTTTTTTGTTTTTTTCCAGGAGAGATTTCTCAAACCTCATCTCTGCTGCTGGAGGAAAGGAAACGGGGACAACTCCGCAGAGATAATGAGCATCACTGTCTCTGCGTCTGAGTGTGTGTATGTACCTCTGGATTTATTTATGAAAATACTGTACTTCTTATGACCTAACACAAAATTCCACAAAAAAATCATCAAAAAATCATCGCTAACTAGAATCTATTGTGTCCAAATGCAAGCGTCGTATAAAAGATGAATGCAGTAACAAGAGATGCTGCTGCAACAACACTGACAATCATTGGAAATGTCACAGCTATCGGCCATGTCATCGTCTCTGTGGCTCATTTGCTCTGATCCCAGCCTCGGATGGTGTGAGCTGTCGCCGTATGAGATTCACGCAGAGAATCGAGTTAGCGATTGGGAGCTTGAGCCCCTCTCATTTGGATTCTGTCAGACTATTACCGAGGTGTATGGAGAGGCTCTGTTCCATCAGAGCGACACAGCCAAGAGCCTGCGACTATAATTACACACTAATTTAGCCTCAAATCCAGGATAGCAAAGGAACAGGGATGAGCGGAGTGAAACAAAGAGAGAAAAGGGAGGTTACGAAGAAGAGGGAGGAGGGACACTGGGAGGGTTTAAGGGGGAAAAATGAGGAGAGGATGATGATAGAGACTGAATAAGAGATCAGAGCATCACAGAAAAGGGATTAACCGAGAGCTCATTAAAGGGAGAGTTTGACACTTTGAGAAATACACTTTTCACCTCCTTGCCCAGAGTTATATTAGAAGATTGATGCCACACATTTGAGTAGTGTAAGCTCTCCATGCCTTTGAACAGTGCCAGGCTTTTTTACACACACACTCTCTATGCTAAGCTAAGGTGACCAGCTGCTGTCTGTGGCTGCAGATGATCAGACATGAACGGGGTTGATCATAGACTGGAAATGGAAAGTGAATGTTGCCATAATGGTTTATAGACTTTCAACTGTGAGGGCATTTTTGGGTCACCATTTTGGTGTTAATCAGAGGTGGCCACAGCTGATCAAAAATTAAACTGTTAGAGGTTAACATAGATGTTAAAACAAGTTTTGAGTCCAACAATAGGGTCTGAGAACAGTTTCACAAAAAGTTAATACACTCTTTACGGGAAAGAAAAAGGTTTTAACTGTGTCCCTGAGTGGTTGTGTTTAGCAATGTGCAGTTTCCATGCAGCTGCGTAGCTCTTTGAAGAACATAAAGGCAGCATAAAATCACTTTTATAAAGTATCTGGTTTTAGAGATGGTTCAGTTTTCCACAGCATAGAGGGTCAAATTCAAATCAGCTATTTAAATATTTAACAAGCAAGATTCATGGAGGATTTTTAAAAATGGATGAATGTGAACTGTTAAACCTTGTAAAATACAGATCGCAGATGGGGCACGTAGATGGTTGAGCGGGTTAGTGCCCCCCATGTGTGAGGACCATGGTCCCCACATTGGTCGTGGGTTTGAGTCCGGCCCCAACCATGTGCTGCATGTCCCCTTCTCTCTCCCTCTATGTCCCACATTTTACCCTATCCTATCAATAAAATGCAAAAATCCCCCCCCCCCCCCAAAAAAAAAAAAAAAAAAAAAAATTAAAAATAAAGATCCACATCCCATGCAGAGAGGGTCTCTATAAATCAAGTGATGTAAAAGATTAAATCAGAAACTATATCAATTAAGATTAATGGATTTCATGAGGTCTATAAAAGGTAATCATGCTCAAGTTGTCTATGATCCGTCTTGCCATGTAAGAGCAGGTTCTTTAACTACCACTAGTGATGGGAATTTAAGCTCTTTCAAGTAATACGGTTAATTTTTCTTGGCAAGAACCAAACTTTTGGGTCTCAAATGGGTCTTAGAGTTAGATTAACTCCTCCCTCAGAGACTCTGACACCCTCAGTCAGTAGGACTCTGCTTACTGTTTACTGTTTGTATGTACTACTGTACCAGTTTGTGTTGTATATATACACTCACCGGCCACTTTATTAGGTACACCATGCTAGTAACGGGTTGGACCCCCTTTTGCCTTCAGAACTGCCTCAATTCTTCGTGGCATAGATTCAACAAGGTGCTGGAAGCATTCCTCAGAGAGCTTGGTCCATATTGACATGATGGCATCACACAGTTGCCGCAGATTTGTCGGCTGCACATCCATGATGCGAATCTCCCGTTCCACCACATCCCAAAGATGCTCTATTGGATTGAGATCTGGTGACTGTGGAGGCCATTTGAGTACAGTGAACTCATTGTCATGTTCAAGAAACCAGTCTGAGATGATTCCAGCTTTATGACATGGCGCATTATCCTGCTGAAAGTAGCCATCAGAAGTTGGGTACATTGTGGTCATAAAGGGATGGACATGGTCAGCAACAATACTCAGGTAGGCTGTGGCGTTGCAACGATGCTCAATTGGTACCAAGGGGCCCAAAGAGTGCCAAGAAAATATTCCCCACACCATGACACCACCACCACCAGCCTGAACCGTTGATACAAGGCAGGATGGATCCATGCTTTCATGTTGTTGACGCCAAATTCTGACCCTACCATCCGAATGTCGCAGCAGAAATCGAGACTCATCAGACCAGGCAACGTTTTTCCAATCTTCTTTTGTCCAATTTCGATGAGCTTGTGCAAATTGTAGCCTCAGTTTCCTGTTCTTAGCTGAAAGGAGTGGCACCCGGCGTGGTCTTCTGCTGCTGTAGCCCATCTGCCTCAAAGTTCGACGTACTATGCGTTCAGAGATGCTCTTCTGCCTACCTTGGTTGTAACGGGTGGTTATTTGAGTCACTGTTGCCTTTCTATCAGCTCGAACCAGTCTGGCCATTCTCCTCTGACCTCTGGCATCAACAAGGCATTTCCGCCCACCAGTGTTGTTTTTGGCAGGCATTTTCGATTTAGTTTTAGTCTTAGTCATTTTGACGAAATGCTTCTTCGTTTTAGTCCCATTTTAGTCATTTCTATCCTTGATAGTTTTCGTCTAGTTTTAGTCCGACCAAAACTCAAAAGGTTTTCGTCTAGTTTTAGTCGACGTAAAGGTGCCTTTTGAGGTTCGTGGTGTTCTTTCCCGACAGTTTGAAGCATGAGGAAGCTGTGGCTCCACAACTGTCGTCTGTCTCGTCTCCCCGTCCCGTGTTTTATTGTCACTTTTCTTTTATTGTCACTTGAACTGTATCTGAAGTAGGACCAAAAATCATCCCTCTTTTTTCGGCCACCGCTGCTGTGCCTGCCGCCACGGTGTGTGTGTGTGGGCGCGCCTCGTCCACCTGCCGCTCTGTGTATGTGAATGAGTGTGTGCGCGCAGCTGTGCGCGAGCGAGGCTTTTGGTGCGTGTGTGATGGGGGCGTGACTGTTAGGACAAAAAAAAAACATGTTTTGAAACTTTGTTCGTCCACCTAATAACAATTTAGTCTCGTCTCGTTCTCGTCTGACGAAAATGAATATAATTTTCGTCACATTTTAGTCTTTACAGAGCTTTGGTGACGTTCGTCTTAGTCTCATTTTCGTCAAGGAAAAAAGGGGTCTGACGTCGTCATTTAAGTTTTCGTCCTGCCTGACGAAAACAACACTGCCGCCCACAGAACTGCCGCTCACTGGATATTTTTTCTTTTTCGGACCATTCTCTGTAAACCCTAGAGATGGTTGTGCGTGAAAATCCCAGTAGATCAGCAGTTTCTGAAATACTCAGACCAGCCCTTCTGGCACCAACAACCATGCCACGTTCAAAGTCACTCAAATCACCTTTCTTCCCCATACTGATGCTCGGTTTGAACTGCAGGAGATTGTCTTGACCATGTCTACATGCCCAAATGCACTAAGTTGCCGCCATGTGATTGGCTGATTAGAAATTAAGTGTTAACGAGCAGTTGGACAGGTGTACCTAATAAAGTGGCCGGTGAGTGTATATATAGTATATATAGTGAACACACTTTAAACAGTATGCATATTGCATATTTTGATTATTTCTTTATTTTTTTGTTATTTTATCTACTTATTTATCTCCTCTTTCTACTTTATTTGCACTGGAGTTACTGTAACAAAAATCAATTTCCCCCTTGGGACTATTAAAGTATTACTGATTCCAATTCTGATTCTCATCAAGGTCTGACTCCTTTGCAATTAAGACTTGACTTCCCAACTTGGTGTGCCGTCTGCTATCAGTGCAGCACTAAAGTAACGCTAAAATGATAACAGAGAAACTGGAATAGCATCTGTTTTTAAAACTTCTGTCCAGGTAAATAAATTTTAAAAAGTAACTTCTACAAGCAGATAAACAGATCTGTGCTATAACAGCATACGCCGCAGCATTGAGCCACCCTGAATCACCACAGGAGATACTCCCTCAACTCGTCGGCTTTAAAATGACCACCAGATGCGTGTCTTTTGTTTGTACACTCTATCATTTTTTCAGTGTATGAAGGACTTGTCAATAGTAAGTGTGTTACTCACTGGAGAGGCTGGTCAGTCCAGCCCCTTTATTGAGAAACGAGATCGAGCATCAACAAAGAAACCAGATTAAACATCATCATCAGAGGGGACGTTTACAGCAACATAAAAACGGTTACAAATCCATCTATAACTGAAACTTCAAGATAAAATCTAAATCAGGATGTTGAGGTACACAAAAATAAGCCGTTGTATTTATGGTTCTTGCAGAATAATTGCATTTGTTTCAACCAGCTGCCTCGTTTCCATCTTTTCATGTGAGTCTTCTTCTCACAGTCAAACCGACAGCTCTGCTCAGAGGCCTTTGATAACGCTGCACTATCAAAGGAGCTTAATAGATCATGAGACATCCCAGTTTTATCTGTGTGTGGAGATTCTCATGAAAAATTGATGGTGATTAGGCAGGGAGACAGGCTGGAACTGCTGGGCCTAGATGTCTCCCGCAAGACGAAAAAAGCTATATATGGAAAGTCTGATCAGAGAGCGGCGAGGGCGCTTCATAGCTAAGGGGTCACACGGCGAGGAGGTTGTTGGAACAGCCCTGCTCTGCACAGCATCGGCAGCAGCAGCAGCAGCTCCTCTGCCATCAGGACCACGGTGTCCTCTTTGACAGGAGGTCTCAGCTGGGTCAACGAGATTCAGATCCACGGCTGCTTCAGTGCTCGATTTGCTCAACCTGAGACAGTGAGGAGGGAGGTGGAGATTTTCTACCCTGTCATAGTTTCATCTGCTCTTTCCTCTGAAGACACACTGCAGCGCTCTGTTCTTTGTCACCTTGTTGCAGAAATCATCCATCCTTTGTTTTTTGTGTTGATTGAGGCTGCTGAATCCCGCTCTAAATTTAGTTTGTTTTGTGTTGAAGGTAGTCGAGCTTCAGGGAAGTGTGTGCAACCTTTCATTCGTTTGTGTTTCTGCACAGGAGGAAATCTCTACATCTCTAGCTCAGGCTGTGGACAAAGTCTTTTGGACCCTGCTGTTATTATTTTTATTTTGTTATTAGCCTGCCTCTAATGGCCCACAGCGGATAGGAAGGTGCTCATTAAAAACTAATAGGAAGCTGTGATATCCAGAGGCCTTTCAGTGTAAGGTCGGAGAGGAGGAATGAGCACATAGTGAAACGCTAATGCATCTCTAAACTGTGATTTGTCTCCTTTAAAGAATTTATGTACAACCTTTAAAGGATAATTCCGCCATTTTCAGGTCAGCTGAAAACATTCCTGCTGAAAGACTTCGACAATCGACATGCACTTAAAGGGATATTCTGGCGTAAAATTAATTTTGGGTCAAACACACTGTAACACCGAATTAGACACCCCTTTGAGAGATGAATGTTGCCGACCGCTTGTTTCTCTAGTTATACCAACTTTAGTAACGACCGCATGATAGCAATACACAGCGGTATCAGGAGCCACACACAAACCTCAACCAAAACGCCACTCTATAGTTACAAATAATGCTCAGAACAGCACCTAACTTCATCAACAGTACATATAGGGTCCCAGCCATAGCAGTAGCCTCCAAAGATCTTTTTAGCTTTGCCTGATTTATTTAGCAATGAGACTAAACACAACTCACCTGCTCTCTTCCAGAAGCTGCTTGTTTGTAGCGAGACCTCGGGTGAGTCCATTACGGACTACAGCGGGGGTGACGCAGCTCAAGGAAGAACATTTATGATCATTTCTTTATCATTTCATTGAAGTAATAATCATCATATTCATTTTGCACCGCAGACATGGTAGTTCTTCTGCCTTAGCGTCTCAGTCTGATTGCATTTCCATAAAGAAATGATGAAGTGGCGTTTTGGTTGAGGTTTGTGTGTGGCTCCTGAGACTGCTGTGTATTGCTATCGTGCAGTTGTTACTAAAGTTGGTATAACTAGAGAAGCAAGCGGTCGGCAACATTCATCTCTCAAAGGGGTGTCTAATTCGGTGTTACGGTGTGTTTGACCCAAAATTAATTTTACGCCGGAATATCCCTTTAAGTGCATGCAATCTTCGTCTGCTTCCATCACACATCCCTCAGGGATGTCACTAAATTTACCACACATATGGACTGTTGCAGATGAGCTGCAGAGTGTTTACATTTTTGCAGCATGCAGTGTCGCGTGGTGAGAATCACATGCAGTGTTTGGCATTGAGCTTCCAGGGCTGGTGATGCATTTTAAACTCAGCTTTTAACACCATTAAAAAATGTTCATAATATAGAAGCAACACATTTACATTTATTTGTCAAGTTTGGGATAAAATGTGTCATATCACCTGCTTTTCCATCCTGATGCTGTCAGAAAGACAGGAGTTTGGATTTACAAGCAAGAAATAGACGCTGAAGTCCCCCAACAACCATCCTTGAAAATAAATCGGCTCTCAATTAAGAAGGACTTTTGATTTTTGAGGCCAAAGAAGCCAAAAACTCTGAGAGTTTCTGCCTGAAGCTACTGTTCAAAAGGAAGTTACTTCTATAGTCAGAGGAGTGATAATGAGCAGATAAATGCAGTCTACAATTGTTATAAATGTGGTACCAAATTCATGATCTAAAAAGGGTTTAGGGGTTGCCTCGTTTCTCTCTCAAGTTGGATCGTAACTGGAACTGAAATGTTTCAGAAGCTTTTGTCTGGAATAGTCACAACATTTAGTATTAAAGTTCCTACTCCCCTGTGGATAAATCCCAAACAAGCTCAAAGATCAGATCCAGGATTGCAATGTTACTTAGATCGCCGGATTATCACACTTTTACTGGAACTTTTTGAGAGCTACTAGAATAAGGTCGCCATGACGTTTGGTACCAGAATTCATAGTCCCCTGAGGATGAAATCAAATGACGAGCTAACGTTCAAAAATAAGTGGGTCAGGGGTGAAAGTGGCCTAGCTCTCTGTGCATGCCCCATATAAGCAGCAGCCCAGGCGCAGTCTGACCTGTGACTCTTTTCCTGTACATGACTCCCTGCTCTCTCTCTCTCTCGCTCGCTCTCCCTATTTCCTTTGCAGAAAGAAAAGCCAGTGTTATGATTCTAGGTATTGCACTGTCTCTTCGTCAGTTCATTAATTACACTAATTTTAAGACTGGACTGTCTAAGGTTGTCATGACATTCAAGACCAAAATTCATGGTCTCTGATAGATAAATTCAAGGTCAAGCTATGTTTAAAGATGAGTAAGTTTCATGGTTTTAGAGTTGCAACATCAGGTTGTTATACTGAAGCTTTTAAAAGTTCCTGGACTGAGTCTGTCCTGACATTTGGCACCAGAAGTCATGGTCCCTTGAGGATGAATCCAAATGACTACCTTGCATTAAGCAAGAAACTAGTATTGGTTTAAGGATGGCATTGTTTCTCACTCAGTCAGACCATCCATTCAATTTAGACTCAAATGTTTGAAAATCAGAGGTTTCATGACATCTAGTACCAAAATTCTTGGTCCTTGGTAGATAAACCCAAAGACAAACAATGTTGAAAAATAAGCTATCCTGGGGCCTAGGTTGACATACTATTTCAGACTGAAGCTACCTAAAGAAGGTTATTACGACTGTTTGTTGCCAGAATTCATGGTTTCCAGAGGTTGAATCCAAACGGCAAGCTATTGTTTGAAGAAAAGGGTTCAGAGACGGCTTTGTCATTCAGTCGGCCAGGTCAATAATTTGATACAGACTGAACGTTTCAAAGTCATCTTGTACTTTTATTGCCAAATTTTGCACCAAATTCGTTCTCCCCAGGAGATGCATCAAAACAACAAGCTTATCCTTGAAGACACGACAACGATCAGGCGTCTTCACTTTGCCTGCCAGGCTCAAACTTTTCAAAATCTGCTCTCTGTGGTTGTCAAGAATCAGACATCAAGATTCAGGGTCCCCAGAGGATGAATTCAAAGGCCAAAGTTATGTTAAAATATTATCTAGAGGTTTGGATGAAGGCATCTCTCACTCAGGAGAGACTGCATCAAAGAGACTGAAATGTTTCAAAAGCTGAAGTCTGCAACTGTAAAGAAACCTGGAGGGGAAAAAATCCTGTATCCAAGAAACTATCTCATGATTTTAAGATAGGCCACAGAAGATAAACCAGACTGTTAGTAAGGGTCTAGAGACGGAAACATTGTTCAGTCAGTCAGGTCATCACTCAAGTTCGGTCACGATCAAGCAGCTGACAACAACTGTCATTAATTTGGTACCGAAACTCATGGTCCCCAGTAGATGAATCCAAACAACCTCTGTGATTCTTTATCTATTTTTCAAGCACCTCCATCAGGTAAAGGGGAAGGTTTTGCGGACGTGTACCAACAATCTCCTGAAAACATCAGTGCAAATTTAAAACAGACTTTCTCGGCTCTCAGAGGATACATCCTTGTTTTTCAGGAAGCATTCATAATGCTGTGCACAGACAGCTCACACTGTCCAGAGGAGAATGTTTTTATGTTCCCCACAGTACAGGATGCATTTTCTCTCATCCTGTCTTCCAGTCAGAATCTCAATTCATCCA